GCGATACCTCTCTAGCTGTGCTCGTTGTCATCGAGGACGAATGTACCTCTCTAGATGTGCCCGTTGTCATCGAGGCGAAGAGACCTAACTAAAACATGCGAATGTGGTTCTCCAGCCTTGCAATCTGATACTGATGCTTCTTGCAAGGATGGACTGCAATGTGATACTGATGGAAAAGCCACAGTAGAAATTACCAAGCATGCTGCAATGCACACAACAACAGCAATGACAAGAGCTGACCTCGCAGAGGGCCTTCAGGAGGGGGGGGGGGCCTTGAGGACGGGGGGAGGGGGGGGCCCTCCCGGGGGCCCTCCCCCCCCTGTGGCCCTAAAAGTCCTTGATATATCAGGCAAAAGGGCCTCGGAGGGCCAATTTCTCCCCAAGAAAGAATTTGTAAACAACATCTCCCGCAAGCTCCAAGGAGCTAGCTTTCGTGACTTGTGGACCAAAAGAAAAAGAACCTTCGTTGGCATATACGAGAGAAAGACTTTTTGCGATTGAATAACGCAAAAAGGCAGGGCTGCAAACTCATCACGACAGTCAGGTTTCGCAGATCCACCGTCACCGCGTAGTCGATGCCCAAAGTATGCTTTCCCCAATAGTTTGTGGCCATCTAAAGCGAGTGAGCCTGCAGCTCGTTGGCAATGGCTGGGCTTGCTCTTCTCCCTTACCGTCGCCTCTCTTGGAATCATGGGGGCGTTCCCTCCTTTGAAGGATCCTCACTTGTCCTTGCGACTGCGTGTCATGTCGCCTTTTGTTCCTTGTTTTAAATTTATCTGCCTTAATTGTATCAGCGGAAGATCAAACAGTGAAATACCTGCATGTGGAAGCGGGGTTGACTGGGAAATGCCTCATCCCGAATGAAAGTCACCTGAGTGGAAGCTTCGTGTATAGATTTGGCAAGAGCATTGTGAAGCAACCAAGCCATGTGTGGACACAAACCTTCCCGGGTACGGCAACTCTCCCTGAGTCTGACCGAGGCGCCTGAGAAAGGCTCTCTGAACCTTTGAACTTTACTCCCCTGCTCGCTATTTTGCGTTCTCATTATCCTTCCGTGACCTCTCTCCTCGAGCAACCTGCCGGGCTGAAAGCAGCTTTGTCAGCAGGTGGCTTCACAAGAGCCTGCAACCCAAATGCAGCCGGAGTCAATTCAGATCAATCTCAAACGAAACACACTGAACCATACTATGTCGGCGAAGGAAATCTGCAAGAGGCTTCAAGCTTTCGCGCAACCGACTCCAGCAAAATTTGCTAATTAATTATGCCAACACGTGGCGAAAGAAAAATAATAAAAGCTTGGGCGACATCGCTTCACCAGCTCTCCATGGTTCTTCAAAAACCTGGACAGGCACCAACAGGAGCCACCCCTTGCACAGTCCGAGCGCGAGCGACCGGCCGGAACTACAAGCCGGCCAAGCATCGGGACATGGTGCGATTGGTACGGATTCAAGTTCGCTTTCCACACATCACGTTGACCGTTAACCGAGTACTATCTTCCCAGTGCGCACCAACTCTGCGCTTTCAGAGACGCTCATAAATACCCTGCAACGCTCCGCATTGCTTCTAGCACGACGTAGTACGAAGCATGGGTCATCAATAGAACTGACCGGCAGGTGTGCACGGATTGTCGAAAACGGCGCTGGGCCCTCTGCTGCAGTCTGGATAGGAAGCATTTCAGGCATCCTCCGATCACACCGTCCAGCATGGCAAATTAATTCAAACTTTGACAAAAAGTCTGCATTAACACCAAAGAGCCGGACAAAATCCTGTGACGTTTCTGGCGAGTCAGCCGGGTTTTCATCCCTGGCCGGCAGCATGGCAACGGGCATCATCGACCGGCGTACTGGAAGTAAGTCTTGGTCATATCTGACGGCAGCCTGTGGATGTGGGCAGAAGCCTCTACACTGAAGTCTTCGGGGCAAGCCCTGGCCGAGACGCTAAACTGCAGCCTTGGAGCAAATCTCTGAAGTCACCGTTGGTCTCAGACGATCGGTGCGGCAGGAACAACTGTGGTCGCACATTGGCATTCGGCTCGAAAATGAAGTCCTTGTCTTTGGCTCGTCAACAGCAGACCGAAATGGAACGGGGCTGTCCAGGTTCTGCATGCCACCCAGACATGACGGTCAAATGTTGGGCCAAATGCAGCCTTGGCACCAGGTCGCTGTACTGGCGCATGAAGTTCTTCCAGCCCTGGCAGCTCAAGCACGCGAAACAGCAGGAAGGAAGGTTCGGCATGCCGATTGCATGTCATGTGTTGCACAAAAACAACCAGCAAAGACACGGCAGCAGCAGCAACAACAAAAACGACGACAACGACAACGACAACCAACAGCCAACGGCCAACAGCCCACAGCCAACCGCCAAACGCCGACAGCCAAAAGCCAAAAGGCAAAGCCAACAGCCAACAATAAGCAACAAAGACCAAGAACGACGACGACGACGACGACGTCGACGACAACAACAACAACAGCCAACAACAACCAACAACAACCACGAACAATGAACAAAAAACAACCGACACACAACCAACTACAAGGTAGTGGGCGCGTCTGCCGCCATGAAGGGTGTGACGTTCGTTGTTGCAGGATTGCTGCACACAAATATAGTGGTTTTGTCGTTTTTGTTGCTTGATATACGTGGTCGCGGTTTCAAGTTTTTAGTCCACGGGCTCTTTGTCGTGCGATAGTTGCATAGGGAACCTACAAATCGAGCAAGCTTAGTTTTGATGTTCGGTGAATGAAGGGGTGCCGGGTAGCATCGAGTTCAGCAACAAGTGCAGCCAACAGAGGGAAACGTCAAACAGAATCTAGAGGCTTCCTCCAAATCAACAACACCATCCTCGCCAGTATTATCATCATCATCATCATCATCCTCAGATTCAGGCTAGCATCATCAGTGTCATGAACCAGTCATGAAGAGTATCATCATCATCCACACAGTATCTTCTTTTGGATTTCATCGCCATCATCGCCACAGGCAATCATGCCTCAACATCGTCATCATCACCATCATCCCTATTGCACCGTCATCCTCGGAAAGGACTGGCACAGGAAGCACACGACAAAAAAGATGCGGCCGCCGCAAGGAGGCTCCAAATCTCAACAATTGAAGTCTGTCCCAGGCATGGACGTCATCATCCACCCCCTTCCCACCCACCATCATGCCGCTCCCAATCCTGCACTGAAGCAAAAACAGAACTTCACGGATAATGCACTCATCACCCCACCCGCATCGCCTGCCTCCCCCACCCCAGCACTGAAGCAAAAGAAAAACACTGCATACATAATCCGCATTGTCTTCGCCATCTTCGCCGCCATCCCCCGCTCCCCCACTCCTGCATTACATTAAACGCTGGAAAACACTCGAGGTTTTTGTAGTCACGCAGAAACACCAAACACCTTCAAGACAAAGACGTACTCAAATTCTAAGCAAAAAGGAAACGAACAGGCATGAAATACCGGCACTGCCGCTGCGAGAAGCTTTGCAATTCACACCGGAAACACCGTAAACATCCGATACGAAAGCCCCCTTGCAAAGAATCGTCTAAACTTCGATGAGCCACAACTCGAGTTTCGTTGCACCGCAGGCCTGAAATCGACACACCCTTCGCGGCCCACCACTACTAGTACTACTAGTACTAGT